GACCCCAGCCGCTTGCTGGACTGGCCAGGCTGCCAAGCTGGGGCTCCTTCCCTCCCCTCTCGGTCTTGCTTTGGAGGTGGATGGTGTCGGGAGGTGCCATGGGGCTGTGCAGGAAGCCCCTGTCCCCGAGGTGCTGGCATGTGAGGCATGATGGGGGGTTTGGGGCAGGTTCCGGGAGCGCGTGCCGGGGCACCGTGCTCCATCCCGGCGTGGCGCTGGGGCAGCCTCTGGACCTGGCACTGCCTCGCTGGAATTATGTCCTTAATCCTGGATCGATGAAAACTGGATGGCTGGAACAAGAGCAGAGGGAGGGAGGTGGAGTGTCCTGATGGTGGAGGCTCCGGGAGGAAAGCTGGAAGAGCTTCCTGGGCAGTGGGTATCTCGGACTGCTGGCACCTCTCACCTGTGATGGAACTGTGCCTGCTGCTCAGGGCAGGCTCCAGACCCTCCAAGGAGTAGCTGCCCCCCTGCTTGTCAGGGCCTGATCCTCTGGAGAGACCCTCACGTGCCCACCCCTGAGTGTCAGCCAGTCAGTGTCAAGGGGTCTGCAGGGCCATGGGCTCCCCTGTCTGGGGACCCCAGCCCCTTCTCTGGCTGCCCTGATGGGACAGGCCCCCCAAAAGCCCTTTGGCTGCCTGCTCTCCCTGGGGCTTTCTGCTCTGACTTGGTGGCTCGAAGGAGAAGGGGGGAAGCCTGTGTGTGTCCCCACACTTCCTCCTGCCTGGCCTGCAGGGACATTTGTGAGTGCAAGGGGACATGGAGAGCTGGCTGGCGGGGGGACCTGTCCTGTTCCTTCCCCCTACTGTTGTTTACTCCCTGTGGAAGGGACAGGAAGGAAATGGCTGCTCTGGCCCCTTATCTGAGGCCCTGCAAATTTCATTGTTAGTGTCCACATTCTCTGAGCCATGTTCCCAGGGGACTCTCAGAGGCGGGGACCTGGGGCTGTTGCTGGCTGCCCCAGTGCCTTCCTGGCAGCCACGAAGGGCTGGAGGAATCTGCTGGGGCTGCTGTCTCTCCGTGCCTTTCCTCAGAGGCAATCCCTGCTGGTCTTCTCACACTTCTCAGTACTGAGGCTGCCTGAGCAGGTGAGCCTGCTCACAAGAGCCGGGGCTCAGCTAAATCCCTTCTTGAAGCCATCATGCTGACTTCATCCTCACACACCCCAGAATTCTGCCTCTTCTGCACAGAGATGGTTGAGGGTGGGCTGGGGAGCAGTTATGTAGCTACTTGGGCAAGGTCATCTTGTGGTGGATCCCTTCTCTCTAGGGAGGTGTTCCTCTGTTTAAAAGGGCTTGGTGAATTACTGTTCTGGAAAGGAATTAAAATGAGCCAGTGTCTGGGTGGAAGGACCACACCTGACCAGCTGGAGAAGTGGGATGTGGAGATTCTCCTGCTCTCCTGGGGGAGAGGGATGGGTCGGTGGTCTGGGGCACCTGGCTGGTTGCAGCAGCCTCCCTGCATAGGGACTTGGCATGGCTGGGCTCTGCAGACCTGCTCCCTGTCCCTGTGGACTGATGGTGACCTTTAGTGGGTCCCAGAAGGTGTAGGATGTGTGTGTCCTTGCTCTAAGGGGGTTGATGCTCCCTAAGCATAGGGAGTGTTTGACTCAACGGTGAGAGTTGGGATGTGTCAGCACTGTTCTGGGAAGCACCAAGCCTCTCCTTCAGAGCATCTCTGTGGGGTAGGTGAGTCCTGGGAGCAGCAAGGATCAGAGCCATCTCTGCATTTCCATACAAGGCTTGGAGAGTCAATCCGTTGAAAGAAGCCTCAGGGCATACCTGTTGCAAGGTGGAAGGTGTGGAAAGCTGCATGCATAAGCCAGGAGTCATGTCTGGGAGCTTCTGAGAGCCTGCGTGGGCTCCTGAGCCCAAAGTGGTGGGCTGTGCTCCTGCTGGGGTGGGACTGGCCAGCGAGCATCCCAGCTCCACGTGGGCTGGGGCAGGGCTCTGGGAGCTGGAGCAGTCTGGAGTAGGTGTGTGTGCCACAGCTTCATCTCTAGATGGGCACGAGTAGAACAACTGGGTTTTTTTATTGATTACAGTAGATTAGAGGGTGGCAGCGGCCAGATATTCAAGTGCGCTGCAGGTGGTTTGCAGAGCCCTTTGAAAAAAGTCTGGCCTCCTCCTCTGGACTCCATCATGGGGTGCCAGGGTGTCTAATAAACACCAGGGCTGCCCGTGTCTGAGGGGAGCTGTGGGGGCAGACCCACAGGGAGGAGTGGACTTGTTGTGAGGCACTTGAGGCAGGGTTTGATCTGCATACACAGAGATAGTGTGGGAAATTAATAAAAAACCCAAGAAGCCCTGCTCTGAGCTCCACCAAATCAGCATCTGCTGAAGGGACAGGGAGTGTGGGGCTGGGGTAGACAGATGGGATAGGGCTTTGTGGGGCTGCCCCTGCCTTCAGCCCCATGTCACTGGTACAGCCACACTGAGGCGGTGGCTCCAGGGGAGTGGGCAGAGCCGGTGCTAGAGACCGTGGGAAAGCAGCCTCTGTGCCGGCTCGAGCGAGTCCTCACATGCCTGCCATGGCTGCACGGGTTGGGAAAACCTCCGCCGGGCTTGCCGGTACTCGGGGCTGCACGGGGGGCCCAGCCCTTGCCACTCCTCCCCCCTTCTTGGTGGGGAGCCATTGGAGAGCCCAGGGAGCTGGGGGCTGCTCTGGGGGCAGTGCTCTATTTGCCACCCCACCAGCCCTCTCCAAACACTTCCCCGTCCCTGGAGAAGAGGGGGTGGGAGAGAAGGGCCCGTGTTCCCGGTCTGCTGCCTGCCCTGCCTCCTGTTTTGAGATCACCCATGTGATTTTTTTGTCCTGCTCTCCCGCTGTCCCTGCAGCTCTCTCCCCTCCTGCTTCCTCACTGTGGTGGCTGGGCTATTTCTCCCATGACTCTCTGCGTCTAGACCTGGCTCTCCCGTGCCTTTGCCAATCAAACCCGAACTTCCTCCTCTAACAGGTCTGTATGGAAGAATATTGTCTTTCTCTGTCAAAATATGTTGATTGTGGTGTGCTTGTCCACTGTTCTCCTTTGGGAGGGGATGTTGGAGGGGTCCCAGCCAGTGTCTGTCCCTAGATCTGTGGGCTGAAGACCTCCTGGGGTGGCTGCAGCCTTGAGAGCCTTGGTGAGAGCCTGGAGGGGGGTGAGTTTTGGCAGCAGAGGGGCTCACAAGGTCTCCTTTAGGGGGCCCCATCCCAATTCTCCCTCTTCCCTGGGTAGGAAGGAGCTCTGGTGCTGGGTCTGTCTCCTGCCTCATACCACACTGGGGCAGAGGGAGCAGATAAGTGACACAGCCCTCTCCCTCAGCCCTTCCCTGGAGGAAATAATGGGATTGGGTCACTCCTCATCCTGCAGGGTGGTGTCCCCTGTGCTGCCCCACTGCCCCAGGGACATGCCCTTCTCTCCTGCTGCTGCTTGCAGGCAGCTCTTCCTTGTAGGGGAAGTTTTCCTCCACCCTGAGGAGGGCCCTTGTGGGAAGAGGGAGCCTCCTCAGCACATAGCAGCTCTTCTGAACCCAGCTCAACCCCAGCTGTTCTGTGTGGTGGGGGAGGTCCTTTTACCCCCAGATACCAGTTTTCCAAGCTTAAGTGCTGGGACAAGGAGCATCTGAGTCATGCCTGGGGCTGTGCTGCTCTGGGACCCTCTGCCAGCTCTCTGGTGGTGGGTGGGAATGGGTATTAATGCCATAAGATTATTATTTCTCTTGTTCTGATAATCTGAACCAAATCAGTCTCTTCTGACTGCTCTTCTCTCCTCCTTTCCTCCCCCACTTCACGCGCAATGAAGAGAGGGGCACCTGCCCTTCTGGGTCACTTTTCCCCTCACCTTGACACCAAGCCTCCTCCGCTTGTGCCTCCCTGTGCCCCCTGCCCTGCCCGTCCTGGGTGCCCACCACCCATGGACGACTCGGAAGTGGAGTCGACCGCCAGCATCCTTGCTTCTGTCAAGGAGCAGGAGGCGCAGTTCGAGAAGCTGACCCGGGCGCTCGAGGAGGAGCGGCGCCATGTCTCGGCCCAGCTGGAGCGAGTCCGGGTCTCCCCACAGGACGCCGGCCCGGGCTTGGCCAACGGCACCCTCACCCGGCGGCACCAGGTAAAAACCCCCTCAGCAGAGGTGGGTCTGGAGGCTCCCGGAGCCCCCGTCCGTGTCAGTCCTGCCTCACTGGGGCAGCCCCGAGCCTGGCTGCCTTCAGCCCTCCTTGGATACCCGAGGTGGAGGAAGGTGAGGCTGGAGGTGCAGCACCAGTGGTGCCGCGTATGCGAGGGGCTGGAGGTGACCTGGGGATGCACAAACCCACCTCAGCAGCCAGAGTACTCTGGGGAGAAGGAGCCAGTCTGGAGGGTCTTGCTACCAGGTTGGCTCTGGTTTGGTTTCGTGAAGGCTGGAGCTGTCTGTGTTCAGTGCCTGGCCATCTGGGCTCCCTATCCCACTCAACTTCTTGGAAGGCTGCTGAAATGCAAGGGCTGGTGTGTAGCTGGGGGGAGTGAATGTGTCTCCTGCTCGTGTGATGATGGACCAGTCCTTGGAGTCTTGGTCTGTCCCCCAAACAGCCAAACCGGGGCTAGAAGAGATCTCTCTTCTCTGCAGGGATGGACATGTGGTTTCATCTGCCTTGGCTTGAGGTCTCTCTCCTGTTTTCCCTTTCCTGGGCTCTGTTTTGGGGAGGGTGCTGTGATGGCTGGTGCGTGGTGCTGTGCCTTTCCAGTGGGTGGAAGGGCAGGTGCCTCTCTGGCTGTGGAAGGTGGTGGTGCCAGGAGAGGCGTGTGGGGCAGGGGGAAGGATGGGGTGCAAGAGTCAAGGGGTAGCACTTTGCCATTGGCTGCTGAGCATCCGTGCTGTTCCCTCGCAGTCCAGGGGGCCTGTGAGATGTCATGTGTGGCTCCTGTGTCAGAAGATGTGGAAGGTTCCCAGGGCTCTGCTGGGGAGCAGGGAAGGGTCTTGATCATTCCATTGAGAGTGTGTGGACATCACGGGAGACCTGGGATGTCTGGAGAGGGCTGAGTGGTGCGTCCTCCAGCTCTACCCCAGGCTGAAACAGAGGGTGTTTTGCTACACATCCCACAGACCCTCAAGAGTGTGTTCCTCTCCTGGGACTGACACATGTGCGTTGGATGCCTGTCAGAGGCAGGAGATGGCCTGCTTGGACCTGGCAGGAAAGGAGAAATGGATAGGTGGGATCCCAGCAGTGGGAGATCAGCTGGTAACAGGCCTGCTGTGGTGCTGTGTGTTTCAGAACGGCCGATTTCTGGGCGATGCTGACCTGGAAAGGCAGAAGTACTCAGATCTGAAGCTCAACGGGCCACAGGTAAGGGGAGCTGAGCTGTCTGCTTTGGGCCACCTGCTTGGGGGTGCAGGGGCAGGGCTTCAGCATCCCCACCCTGGCTGGGTGCTGGGGACTTGAGTTTCAAGTGTGGCTGCCTTGTCTTAAAGGGGCTTTGGATGTGGGTTGTTGGTACCCACTGGCATGCAAGAGGATATTGGGGCTCCCTGAGGCAGGAGATCTCTTGTCTGGCTGGCTTCAGGGAAGCCCACGGTGGTGATGGGGTGCTGACTGCATGTCCCTTGCTCTCCTCAGGACCACAGCCACCTCTTGTACAGCACAATTCCCAGGATGCAGGACCCAGGCCAGATTGTTGAGGAGACATACACCATGGAGGAGGACCCAGAAGGGGCAATGTCAGTTGTGTCTGTGGAGACATCAGATGATGGAACAACTCGGCGTACAGAGACCACGGTACAGGCCTGGGGAGAACATGAAGGGACAGGGTTCTGGCCAGGGATGTTGGCGGCTGGGGTGCTACAGCCCCCCAAGCTTGGCATGCTGTGAGCTGAAATGGAGTGTGAAATCTGCCAGGAGTAAGGTGCTGGGCTGGAAGGGAAATCCGGGGATGCAGGGGTGTGGTGGCTTTCCTGATGGTAGTGTGTCCTGCATCGATCCCTCTAGGTGAAGAAAGTGGTGAAGACTGTGACCACCCGGACAGTGCAGCAGGTGCCAGTGGGGCCCGATGGGTTACCGTTGGAAGCCTCCCCTGTCGCCAGCAGCTACGTCCAGACCATGGACAGGAACTTCCGCAAGAACGGCAACGGGGGCCCTGGTGGCTACCTGGGCCAGCCGGGCACGGCCACCCTCCCCCGTAACTACCACTACCCCGATGGCTACGGCCGCCCCTACGAGGACGGTTACCCAGGCAGCGACCACAGCTACGGCAGCTTGTCCCGCGTCACCCGCATCGACGAGCGCTACCGGCCCTCCATGGACACCTACCGGGCCCCCAGCCGCCAGGACATCTATGGCCCCCAGCCTCAGGTGCGCGTCGGGGGCAGCAACATGGACCTCAACCACTTCCACCCCGAGCAGTACGGCCTGGAGGATGACCAGCGCAGCGTGGGCTTTGAGGACGTGGACTACGGGCTTATGTCTGACTACGGCACAGCCCGGCGGGCAGGGACCCCCTCCGACCCTCGGCGCCGACTCAGGTAGGTGGCGGGAGGCACTGGGAGAGGGGGTGCTGTGGGTCCCTCTAACCTCATCCTCTGCTGGGAAAGGAGGATCACAGAGCCAATGCTATGAGCTGATTCACATGCGGCTCATGCAGGAGAAAACTTGCGTCCGCTTCTAATTATCTGCTTAATTGGTGGTTAAAACTCAGTGCTAATTGAGCCAGTCGTCCTGCAGCGAGGAGTTCCGCTGGGCGGTTGGGTGTAGCTCTGGGCCCTTCCCTCTCTCCACCATTCTCCTATGGAGCTGGCAGGCTCCCCACACCCCAACTTGCCATGTCCTGCCAGGGGGACTGTGTCCCCCAGTGCAGGGCGAGGGGCACAGCCCCCTCAGACACCATTGCAGCCTCGTGATCTCGCTGTGGGCGAGCCGGGCGCAGCCATGGAGTGGGGCTGAGCCCAGGGCTGGGGCGAGCAAGGCTCAGCCCCCTGGAGCCCTGAAGCCTTCTGGCAGTGCAGGGCAGGGTAAGGCAGGAGAAGCTGTTTGACCTGTTTGGCAGAAGCAGCTTCTCCCCCTCATTTGTCTGTGAGTGGTGGGGGCTCCTCCAGCCAGACTGCTGAGCAGCTGCCCCCAAGGGCCTTGGGGTTCCTTCAGCTTCCCATTGGGGGTTCTGGGTGTTAGTGCCTGAGGCTGTGACTCCTGTGGGCTGGGGTCTTGTGCCAGCTGTATGTGTCCCTTGCACAAACACTACTGTGCCTGGGCTGTCACATGGGGTTCAGGGAGGTGCTGGAATATGGTTTGTAGGCTGGGGAGGTGGGAATCGAGTGAGGCACTGCACCTGGCTCCCAGAGATGAGGAGGGGGCTGTGGGGCTGTGTCAGCAAACTAGGATGGATGTATATCTCCTGAATGCCCCAGGCTAAGTGAGACAGGTAGGGCTGAGCACAGGCTGCTTGAGCTCCTGGGGAATAAAACAGAGGAGGGAGAGAGAGACCTGAGGGGCAAGGAGGCTCTTGCCAGCCCCTGCCAGAGATCTGCCCATCTCCAGGTGCTCACTGTTAAATCCATGGTAGCTCCTGGCTGCTGAAGAGACTAAAGGAGGAGCTTTGTCCTTTTGGCTTGTGCCAGCACAAGCGTTTCTGTTGCTGTGCTGAACCAGTTGGGGCAGTTGTTCACCCAGATTTATTTCCCTGTCCTGCCTCACCTTGTGAAGCTTGTACTTGCTAGAGGAGGGCAGGCAGGCTGCCCCCAGCCTGCACCCACTCAAACAGCATTAGCAGTTTTGAGCACATGGCTGCTGTGGCCCCTCAGGAGCAGCTTGGGCAGAAGGGGTTAGGCAGGCATGTCTGACCCCTGGCTGCTTTGCTTCAGAGTGAGCGAGTGCCAGCCAAGTCAGAGGGCTCTGGCTTGCCAAACCTCCCTGGTTTTGTGTCCTGCCCAGCACACAGAGCCCTCCCTGGATGGTCTGGTCTGAACCCATGTGGCCTTTGTGACTGTGAGCCCTCTCTGCTGGGCTGGATGCTGTCCATGCTGCTTCTGCCCCTCCAGATCCTGGAGGACAGGGGTTACAGGAGCTGCAGCTTGGTAGGTGACCAGGGAACATGGGTCATAAGAGAAGGAGAAGGTCCTGCTTCCAAGCAAGGCCAGGGAGCAGCCCTGGTGAAGATCATAAAATCATAGAACTATGAACTAAGATGTCACCTTGTCCTGCAAGGATGGTGCAGGGCATGGACGATGGGTTGGTGTGACCCATGGCAGGCTCTCCCTCCCCAGGCAGACGATAAGGATCGCAGCAATCTGTGGAATCCAGGCGCTGTTGAGCTTGGCGCGTCCCCTGCCTTCTTAGTTACCGTTCGCGCCCAGCCTGCAAGAATGGGAAGAGCAGAGATCAGCACCCCCTGCCTCAGATGTTTGTCTTGAGCAGGGGCCTGGCTGGTAATCACTTCCTTCAGGGGGGCTGCTTGCCAGGCCCATGGGAGGTGAAGGAGGGCCCTGAGCTGGGGCACGGCCTGTCCTGACTGGCATCAGCCAAGTGCCCCATGGGTCCCCTCTCCCATGGCTCTTCTGGGAGCTCCCTCTCTGCAGAGACAGAGGGAAGGGGAGCTCAGTGGCTGTGCTGCCCTCCTGGCCAGCCCTGTTTCACCTGGATGTTTGGGGTCTCCAGCATGAAGGGACCCTGGGGCTGGGCAGCTTTTTGGGGCTTGGCATGGGAGCAAGGTCCTTCTGCTGGCTGTGTTGACAAGTGCTGGGTGGCTTGTTTGCCATGCTGTGCTTTGTGACTGTGAGCCCTCTCTGCTGGGCTGGATGCTGTCCATGCTGCTTCTGCCCCTCCAGATCCTGGAGGACAGGGGTTACAGGAGCTGCAGCTTGGTAGGCGACCAGGGAACATGGGTCATAAGAGAAGGAGAAGGTCCTGCTTCCAAGCAAGGCCAGGGAGCAGCCCTGGTGAAGATCATAAAATCATAGAACTATGAACTAAGATGTCACCTTGTCCTGCAAGGATGGTGCAGGGCATGGACGATGGGTTGGTGTGACCCATGGCAGGCTCTCCCTCCCCAGGCAGACGATAAGGATCGCAGCAATCTGTGGAATCCAGGCGCTGTTGAGCTTGGCGCGTCCCCTGCCTTCTTAGTTACCGTTCGCGCCCAGCCTGCAAGAATGGGAAGAGCAGAGATCAGCACCCCCTGCCTCAGATGTTTGTCTTGAGCAGGGGCCTGGCTGGTAATCACTTCCTTCAGGGGGGCTGCTTGCCAGGCCCATGGGAGGTGAAGGAGGGCCCTGAGCTGGGGCACGGCCTGTCCTGACTGGCATCAGCCAAGTGCCCCATGGGTCCCCTCTCCCATGGCTCTTCTGGGAGCTCCCTCTCTGCAGAGACAGAGGGAAGGGGAGCTCAGTGGCTGTGCTGCCCTCCTGGCCAGCCCTGTTTCACCTGGATGTTTGGGGTCTCCAGCATGAAGGGACCCTGGGGCTGGGCAGCTTTTTGGGGCTTGGCATGGGAGCAAGGTCCTTCTGCTGGCTGTGTTGACAAGTGCTGGGTGGCTTGTTTGCCATGCTGTGCTCCAGCCTGGTCCTACTGGGGTGGTGGTGCGAGGGACTCCTGGTGCAGCTGGGCTCCTTGGTGTCACTTCATAGCCAGGTCGTGTGGCAAAGCAGCACATTTCCCCTTCAGGACGTGCTGAAAGCCACCCTGCCAGCCCACTGCCACCCTCCACTGTGGCGCCGTGCGGGCAGCTGGGCAGCAGTGCCCGAGGGGATGTGGCTGTGGAAGGGGCAGCCAGCTGGAGCCAGTGGTTTTGGCAAGAGCCTCGTACCAGAGGCTGCAGGGAGCAGAACCTGCTGCGATCCTTTACTGCATCTTTCTCTGCCTCCTCCTGATCTGGGAGCTCAGAAGGTGGCTGAGCAGTTCCTGGGGCAGATGAGGTAGCATCCTCTGACATGTCTTGGACCTTTCTTGTGTGTCCCCAGTGTCCTGGCACAGCAGGGACAACAGCAGTGGTCAGGCCCCTCTGTTTGAGTGCCAAGTCCCCTCCCATCCCCTTCTGTTGGAAATCACTGGATTCCTCTGCCAGGGTGGGGGAAGGATTATATTACCACTGACTACAAAAACAGGGCGAGAATCCTGGATTTTGTGTGGGGTGTGCTCTGGGGGAGTTCAGTGTCACCTTGGTGTATGGGGGACTGGTCACACTTCCTTTCAGCTTCCATGTGCTTGTTGGGGCTCATTCCCAGCACTGCTGGCCCTGGGGTGGCCTGCCCTTGGCCAGGGCTGTGGGGCCACAGCTCATCCTTGTGCCTGATCTGGGAGCAGCCTGGCTGATCCCTGCAGCCCAGCTGTCTCATGATGCCCCACTAAATCTATCCCCTGGGTGCTGGCATGTGTGACTGGGCATCTGCAGGCAAGAGGTAGTGAGCCCCATCCTGGGAAGCAGCTTTTGCTCTGGCTGCAGTTCTCTGAAGTAGTGGCAGTGACTTGGTCTGGCAGCAGCTTGTGTGTTCCTGGGGTACTGGGCAGGTGTTGGATGCAGCCGGATGGTGCTGTGAAGAGTGGGGTGGCCTGAGATGGGACTGTGGGCTGGGCAGTGTGGAGTGAAGGCCTGGGGGGCTCCTGAGTCCCCTTCTCCCAGCAATCTCTGCGGTGGGAAATTGCCCTCTAGTGGCCACAGGCCCGAGTGGTTCCAGGTGCCCTTGGGGCTGGCTCTGGCCTCCATGGAGGACCCAGCCTCAGACCCAAATCTAAACTCTGTGGGCAGGAAGGGACTGGTGTAACTGTTGAGGCTGCCTTCTCGTGGAGAACAACTCCCTGCTTCCTGAGCAGGCCTGGGGACACGTGGATGTGGCCTCCTGCAGCTACAGGCCCCAGCTGGACCCTGTGTGGGGAGCAGGAAGGTGCCTGGCACAGCTCTGCTGCCTGGGCAGCAGCCCTCGCTGCGGGCCTGCTGGAGGCACTGCAGCAGGACAGTGGTGACCAGGCACTTGGTGCCCGTCAGCCCATCTTCTGCTGGGTTGGAGAGAACGTGGCATCCCCCCAGGTCTGGGGCTCGTGCTGATGCCTTCTGTCTTCTCTCCTAGGAGCTACGAAGACATGCTGGTGGATGAAGTGGCCCCTGACCGGTACTACTGGGCGCCCCTGGCTCAGCACGAGCGGGGCAGCTTGGCCAGCCTGGACAGCCTGCGGAAGGGGGCCCCGGCCCCTGGGAACTGGCGCCAGCCGGAGCTGCCCGAGGTGATAGCCATGCTGAGCTTCCGGCTGGACGCCGTCAAGTCCAACGCGGCCGCCTACCTGCAGCACCTCTGCTACCGCAACGACAAGGTGAAGACTGAGGTGCGCAAGCTGAAGGGCATTCCCGTGCTGGTGGAATTGCTAGACCACCCCAAGAAGGAGGTGCACTACGGTGCCTGTGGAGCCCTCAAGAACATCTCCTTTGGCAAGGACCAAGACAACAAGATTGCCATCAAGAACTGCGATGGGGTGCCCGCCCTGGTGCGCCTGCTGCGGAAGGCCCATGACATGGACCTCACCGAGGTCATCACAGGTAACAGGGAGGAGGGGAGGGCCCGATCTGTGGGGTGAGGGATGCACAGTGCACGTGGCCTGATTGATCACCTCCTGCTTGTGGCATTGCAGGAACACTGTGGAACCTCTCCTCACATGACTCCATCAAGATGGCCATTGTGGATCATGCTCTGCATGCTCTGACTGACGAGGTGATCATTCCCCGCTCGGGCTGGGAGCGGGAGCCCAACGAGGACTCCAAGCCCCGCCATATTGAGTGGGAGTCGGTGCTCACCAACACTGCTGGCTGCCTCAGGTATGGGAGGGGGCTGCCAGCTGCGGGCTGGCCTGTGCTGGGGCTGCTGCGCTGCTCCTTCCTGGCTGTTCCTGGTAGCTTCCTGGGGTGGCCAAAGGGAGTCTGGGGAGGAGCTGCTCTCCTAGGACAGATGCTGGTGATGTGGCCCTTGATTTTTGGAGTTCCTCTGGGTGGAGGGAGAGCTACAGGAGCTTTTCTCTGGTTTGAGCTCTGCTGGGCATGGAGTGCTCCTCATCTGGCCTCAGCTGTGTCTCTCATGGTGGTTCTCTCCTGCTGGCAGGAATGTGAGCTCAGAGCGGAGCGAGGCCCGTCGGAAGCTGCGGGAATGTGACGGGCTGGTGGATGCCCTGATTTACATTGTACAGTCTGAAATCGGGCAGAAAGACTCAGACAGCAAGGTACCATGGCAGGGGGGTTGTCTGTGCACTCATGGGGCTCTGTCCTTGTCACCCAGCTCCAGAACTGCTGTGCTGCCTGTGGGGGTTGAAGCTGGGCTCATCCCAAGGTGGATGAAGTGTGGACAGGGGAAATCTTCAGCAATGAGGGACTTGGTCTGACAGGACTCAATTGAGAAAACTCAGTCCAGGCTCATGCCAATCCACAATCTCCACTTGGGTAGAGAGCCTGCATGGGCTGTGACCTGGGCACTGTTGACCAGGAGTTGTCTGTCACACCCCTGCAGTTTTCAGGAGAAATGTTGGCCCTTCAGGGGGTTCCAGTGGGGTCACTCATCCCCATGCGGGTATCCCCAGTCTGCCTTGACAAGATATAGGCATAAATTTTCCTTGAGCCTTTGCATGGACCTTTCATGCTTATGGCAGAGTTATTTTTGGTCCAGCAGAGCATGAGCTCATGCCTGCAGAATGGGCCATGCCCACCTTGGGATGGGGGTGTGCTCCAGCTCCGAGTCGGAGCTGCATGTTCCTCTGGCCACAGTTCAGACCCACCTGCCCTGGCTCTGGGTTTCAGGCTGTGATGAGGCCCTTGCTCAGAGACATGGAATGTGCACAAGCTGCTCCAAGTCAAACTGTGTCTTTCTCTCTAGCTGGTGGAGAACTGTGTGTGCCTGCTGAGAAACTTGTCCTACCAAGTGCACCGTGAGATCCCCCACGCAGAGCGCTACCAGGAGACACCTCTGGCCCCTGCCAACAACGCTGGGCCTCACGCTGCAAGCTGCTTTGGTGCCAAGAAGGGCAAAGGTTGGTTGGGTGGCAGCAGCATGGATGGAGGGTGGGGTAGAGACAGATCTGCTGCAGTGGAGCTTGGGGTGGTCTGGAGTCCCTGTGCCCCCACTGGCATCTCTCCTGTGAAGGCTAAACTGCAGCTTCCTCTGGAGGCACAGTGGTCTGTGCCTCCCTGGCTATGGGAGCTACTGCTTGGCTTACCCATAGCATTTGACACAAGCTAATGGTGGGTTTCTGTGGTGGTGGGATGGTGATGGATAGATGTCCACTAACTCCACACCTTCCCTTTTCTCCTGTGTTGCCCCTTCCCCTCCCCTTTGCTTTCTTGCCAAATGATCTGCCCCACGATGCTGTCGGCACCTCTCTCCTCCTGCCTCCCCTCTCTCCTGTCCTTCTCTCCACTTCGCCAATAGACGAATGGTTCTCCAGAGGTGAGTGTGCACTTGGTTTTAATTTTTCCACAATTTGATTGGGTGCTTTCTCTAGCTCTTTGTTCCCCCTAGCTGGGCACATTCTGTCTGCAGTGCGGCTAATGCCCTCAGTGTCCCCTTCTGGGATGTGCTGTAGCTTAGCTTCAGCTCACCCCTGGGCTTGTTATTGCAGCAAGTGGCAAAGAGCTGTTGGGCTGACATGGGTGAGAGAAGAGGTCTTTTCTCATGCCTCTCTGCTTCCCCTTTGAAGGTAAAAAGCTCCCAGAAGACCCTGGTGCTGACACAGTGGATTTTCCCAAAAGAACAACTCCAGCCAAAGGTATGTTCCTCAATGCATTCTCAGAGGGCTTGGGTGTGCAGGGCTGCTTTTCCACGAGCAGTCCAGGAGTGAGCAGCATTGATTCCCCATTGAAGTGAGCTTCACAAGTGGGCAGAGGTTTGGTTTGGAGGAGTTGTGTTTCTGGTTGCCGAAGTCCTTGTTAAAACATTATCACTGCCACAGACAGTATGAGGATGCTGCTTGTGCAGGGAGGTCAGCACTGACTCAGTACAGGCTTTCTCAAGCTGCAGGGGCAACAACTGCTCTAGGGACTGAGGGACATCATGGTAACACAGTCCTTGGAAGAGCAGCCCTTGGTGGTGGTCTCAGACTTCTCAGAACAATTGCCCTCTTGCCTGTCCTTTATCTCCTGGGCATGAGGAACGGGCAGGATTTAAAGTAAAAAGACCTTGCCTTAAAGTATTTTTCAACATGAGGGAGGGTCATTTCAAGAAGCCTCTGGGGTCAAGTGTCTTGCCTAGAACGCTGTGAATCACAGCCCCTCTCTGGGTGGCTAAGCACTGAGCATTAGTCCAGGGCATGAGTTCAGCTCCTTCTGCCCTAAAACACTCTGAGATTCCTGGGAGGGCCTTGTTGCTCCCAAGGGTATGAAGAGTCAAGCCAGAAGGTTCACAAGGGAACTTAGGACAGTGGTGGCTCCTCAGGCTGAGCTGGGCTGTGAGAAGAGTCAGCACCCATCTCTGGTGGAAGCCTAAGAAGCCACCTGCTCTGTCTTTGGGTCTGAGGACATCCCTCACCACTGCTGAGGACAGAGCAAGATAGAAAACGTTTGAGCTGCAGCCTCACTGCTGCTGTAGAAGTGCCTTCTGGACTTCCCATGAAAGAGAGTTAATACATGAAGGCTTGGTCCGTGCCTGTTTGCTAGGGTAGTGGAGAGCTGGAAACCTGGCGCCCTCAGTCTCTGCGAGGAGCTGAATCTGAGCTGCTTCAGCATGGTATTGGTGGATGATTGCTCAGGGTGTTTCCCCTTCCCCCTGCTGAGAGTGCAGGCTGTGCTGTTGGCTACCACAGTGTCTGACCACCAAGTTTGCAGCCCCACCACGTGTCCTTGCCTGGCTGGGCCCTTCTCAGCCAGTTGTTGCACTGAAACTGATGATCCTTGCTGATGGCAGCAGTGGTGTAGCTCAGCCCAAGCCTCTCCTGAGCTGCAGCAGTGTCCTGGGGACTCCAGGCAGCAGCTGTGGCATCAGGGCTGGTGCTTCTGGCCCTGTGGGGCAGCCTGGCCCCCTTAGTGCCAAGGATGCAGCCTCCAGGGAGCAGTGAACCTGGGTGAAAGCCTTGTCTGCCTGGGAGTGCTCCTTTAAATGAACCAGGTGCTATCAGAGCCCTTAAGTCCTTCCTCCCTGTGTTCTGCCAGGCTACGAGCTCCTCTTCCAGCCAGAAGTGGTCCGGATATACATCTCCCTTCTGAAGGAAAGCAAAACTCCAGCTTTCCTGGAGGCTTCAGCGGGAGCCATTCAGAACCTGTGTGCTGGAAGCTGGACAGTGAGTGCTGGGGCTGACCATGCCCATGTCTGTGCTGCAGGGAAAGGACCCTAGGGAGCAGGGAGTGTCACCCTGGTGGTTCCAGCAGGGCTGTGAATGCCCGAGGCTCTGCTGTGTCAGGCTGTTCACTTGGTGCATGCATGGCTTGTTGCCCCAAAAGTTGCTGCTTGGCAGCACATTCAGGTGTGGACCAGGTCCCTCCCGTGCTGTGAAGTGCTCTGGGCTCCCTGCCAGCTGTGTCTTCTCAAGGGCTCCCTGCCTGTGTCCCTGCCATCCCTTCCCTTCTTTAGGCTGGGGCAAGGGATGAAGGTTTGTGGCTGCTCTGCAGCCTCTTGGCCCACACTGTTGTTGTGTCTGGGAACTCCTT